GAAGCATGCAGAACTGCACAAAAAAATCTGGGAAACAGCAAGGCTGTGAAAGGTGAACCGCATTATAGCGAGGAATCACTGTATAGGGGTATAGGGCAGTAGTGTGTCAGGAAACAGCATTTGCCTCAGGTCTCCTACCATCTCAGTCTTGCAAGTTTTTAGTGCTTATCCTGAAACAGCTCAGCTTCACACCATGTGATAGCAGCTGATGACCTCCCTCATATTAGATAGTCCTCAAATAATTTGCTGTGGACCAAATTGTCATCCAAACTTGGCTGAGATCTTTCATCTATCAAACCTGCAAGGAACTTGTGGTAGAGCGTGACCGGTGGCGTGCTGAAAAGCGTGAATATGTGGTCGGGTCTGTGGTGCATCTTTTACAGTGGTGCCAAAACACAGGATTGGGGCATGGCGATGGCTGGATGTGCGGTTGACCCTTGGACCCACCTCATCACTTTCGCCACTGGGTACACGGAACAGCCTCCTGAATCAACAAGGGGTGTAATTGTGTAACTGATCTGCCACTCTCTTCCAAGAAGCCCTGATAATATGCCTTGCCCTGGTCCAACCCTGAGAACCATTTGTTCCTGCTCAGGCTGTTCCACATGTCTTGCACATGAGGAATGGGATGACAGTCAATAAAATATATTTACAGTTGCTGACTGAAGTTTTACATCTGATATTCAAAAAAGTTCTGGGACAACTTCTCCTACTCCCAAGGTGCATGGAAAAGGACAGAGATCCGGTGACGTGAAGACTTCAGTGACACTTGAAGCACTAGGGAACAACTTTTTTGACCGATAAGTTTTGGCTTGTGGCCTTCATCAGGTTCATTACAAAACACCAAACAGTTGGTTTAAAAAAAAAAGTATACTACAGAAAGAAATCCAATTGAGCCAATCACACATTCACTCATAAGCAAGCTGACCAAGCTGATCAGCTTTTAAGGAGGTACTGGCTGACTGGTTTAACCAGAGCTCACATAGGCTTTGGGTGGAACACTAGTGCCAGCAATAACACAAAACTGCCCAATGCTTTTTTTAAATAGAAGTATGTCAGAATTCTTGTTTTTATACTAACAAGATAGTTAATGACTTGACTCCAAAAATGTTAATTGTGATGTATCAGTATTTTTCACTTCAGCTCAGGATTGTAGATACTCAGCTGTGTTTCAGTTACCATTAGCATTACTGCTGCTGCTTTTACAGTTGATATTGTGGTTTATTGCTCTTTCAGACCAACAGGTTGAGGTGAAGGTGGAGGAAGGCTCAGACTCCGTCATCCTGCCCTGCAAAACAAAACCTGACCTGCCTGAGGACACCACAGTGGAGTGGACTCACTCTGACCAAGAACTCACAGTGACCCAAGTGCATTCAAACAACAGTGATCACCTGAAACAGCTGGACAACCTTTACTGCGGCCGCGGAAAGATGAATGAAGACCTGCTGAGAACTGGAGACCTCAGTCTGACCCTGAAAAACCCCACAAAGAGAGACAGTGGAGGATACATCTGCACCATCTACAGGGACAAAGACATCCTGAGACAGAAAGTAGAGCTGCAGGTCAAAGGTCAG